GTGTGTGTGTGTGTGTGTGTGTGTGTGTGTGTGTGTGTGTGTGTGTGTGTGTTTTCCTCAGGGGGGTCATATAGTTGGCTTGGACCATGAGCAATGAGTCTACCGTCTGGAACATTCTACCAGAAAACTCCACAGTAAGTTCACCTTGTTTTCAAACTTCCTCTGTGTGTGTGTGTGTGTGTGTGTGTGTGTGTGTGTGTGTGTGTGTGTGTGTGTGTGTGTGTGTGTGGACACGTTTTTTCTACATCATGGGGACAATATTCCAGACGAACACAGCTTTGTGGGGACTTAATGCTTCTTATGGGGACTAACGCCTGGCGCCCCACGGGTACAGATGCTGATTTTGGGTAGGTGGTACGTTGAGGGTAAAGGGCCAGTGTTAGGCTATAGAAATAACTGAAACATGAATGGAAGTCAAAGCAAAGTCCCCACAAGCTTAGAAAAACCAACGCGCATGTGTGTGTGTGTGTGCAGCTCACCTCCAGAGCCATACTTTCCCTCATATTCTTGTCTGGTCGATTGACTGGCTAATAGAGAACATCCTGACCTGGACTTGAAATAATTAAATTTCTGATCTAATCTGAGCTTTAATTTCCTCTTGCAGAGAAATTAATGTGTGACGTCAGTGTGTGGTCCACATTAACACGTGAAGTGTCCTCTCCATTATAGAAGTCATGTTCAAATATAACATGATCAAGATAGCATCAAAAGTCCACAATGTTTCAGCACAGATGAAGCTGCATGAAAGGGGCTCATTTGCAGTAACTAAATTGCTAAAAACTACCACGTCAGTGATTTTTGCTTTATTGTTAAAAATAGCTCCCATCTCGTTATGTGGACCACAGTRTTGACAAAGTTGTATTATTCTGTAAAACATAAATAAAAGCAGAACACAAAAATGTTCCGTTTCCATGAATCTCATTTTATTCACAATGGAGCACAAAAAGCATCTCAAACATTTAAATAGAAAAAACATGWCAATTTTAAAGAAAACATATGGTTAAAGCTCTATCATGCACATAAGAAACTAGATGAAAACAGCGTTCAGAAACACAACCGTCCTTTTTGGGTCAAAACTCATTTTCACTGAAATGTTTTTAGGAACCATTTCAGCCGTGTATTTGTGCTATAAACAAGAGGCCCATTCAGCCTGTTTCCAGTGCACGCTTCAACAGCCTGCTTCTCTTATGGTANTAACCTTCAGGGTGGATATAGCTCACTCACACTGAGGACCTATCCACGTCATCATTTACCCAGAATGCTTTGTGTGTAAATAAAATGGCTCAGTCCGTGTTAAAATATATTTTTAAAAATGTACAAAACTAAACAGCCTACAGTATTTTTACAGTCTTCATTTTACAGTTAAAATGTATGTTTATCAAATAAAGTCTAATGTTACAACTAATCATGGATCCCTTTAAATCTTGTAGCTCCACACGCCTTAAGCTACAGAACAGAAGTCCAGTTGCTTTGTCTTTGTTCTTCTAATGTTCCATGTTCTGGATGACTGAGAATCCAGAGAAATATATGATGGTAACGTCTGTTTCGGACCATATCGATACTAAAGTGACTGGTTCAGTTCAATAGTTTAGTTAGTTTTTTACCTCCAACATGTTTCATTCCATAAATACACGCTGCACCGGAGCAGCTGACCAGAGGACGGGTCAAATGTAAACAGTGAACTAAACAAGRYTGACAAATTCAGAATCAACATGCTAACATGTAGCATCCACAGACAGACCTGTTWACTTCTGTAAACAGAGCGCTGAATGTGACGTCATGTCTTCTTCTGTGCGTGCAGGTCAGCATAAAGTGTTCACACTGGAGTCTGATGGAGGTGGCATTTAAAATCTAATGTGAACATCCACTCATAGAAATGGTATTGGACAAGTACAAATGCTAGTAAAAAAAATGCTGGTATTGGGAAAGCACTAGTATATTTACATAAAAATACAGTTAAAATGGTTTCTAGTTTTTAGTATGTTCCAGTTTTGGATAAGTTTGAACAAACAGAGTGTAGAAAAATCCTGTATGTGTTTTTCCCTAACTCATTAGACTCAATAGGAATAAAAATGTAACATTATCAATATGTTCAGCTGGTGGGACGTCAAGTACCACTGCTGCTTCACTTTTTGTTTTCTAAAGTCTTTACTATGCTGTTCACTTGTTTTGTTTGTTTGTTTGTTTTTGCATTATTTTATCATAGTTAATCCATATAAAGTCTGTTAGGCCCAATAATATAAAGTCAGAACATAACAGGGAAATATATATA